CTTAAAAGATTTTGCAATATTGAATTCATCTATCCATTATTTTTAGCATTTTCAACGTTGTTTTTCAAGCACATAAATAATGGTAAGCTTTGTTATGTTATAATTGTGTTGTAATTTAATTTCACTAATCCAAGTTTCACTCAAATTATCCGCAGTTAATTTCTTTCAAGAATCTTTTTTTAAGAACGTATTAAAATTTAAACACTATTCACGAAATCAACAATTTAATTCATCGACCCACTACTTTTATCGACTTTTCAATAGGATTTTATTAACTTTTATCAAAATTTATTAAAAATTTGATTTTTAGATGGAGATTTGATATCTGCCCTGGAATCTGATCAAGATATAATATATCAGCACTAGCCATCTTCGATTTCTTCACAAAATCTGATTGAAAGATAATAACACGAAATTGCAGCCCACCTTCACAAGTGGTGGTTTTGAGAGGTTGAGGTGGAAAAATTGAGTGGAGGGAAGGGAAGGGAAGGGAAGGGTAGGGTAGGGATGAAGAAGAGAAAAATGTGAGTGCGCATATTTGGTACGTAACTTTATGTCGTGTAGAGGGACCAAAGATTAAAAAAAGAACAAACAATTGCAAGTGGAGGGAAGGGATGGGATGAAGAAGAGGACAATGTGAGTGCGCATCTTTGGTACATAACTTTATAGGGAATTGATATTTGTACCGGGGGGTTGACAACCCCCCTCTCCGGCCCCTCACAATAGTGGGGGGCCCACCTTTTTTAAAAACAGGTGGGCCCCTCACTATTGTGAGGGGCCGGTGAGGGGGGTTGTCAACCCTCCCGGTAATAGTGAGGGGCCGGTGAGGGGGGTTGTCAACCCTCACGGTACAAATATCAATTCCTAACCAAATTTTATCACCTTAGATGCACCCAAATTAACATCAATAAAGTTATTTGTACAAAGTTGATTTACAAAAATTGGATTACAAAGTGTGTTGACAAAATTCAGATATATGCCCATGAATTCAAAAACAATCACACTACTTGTACAGGGAAAAATGTCATGTCGCATTTCAGTTGCAGTATTGGCAGCGCCTGATTAGTTGTCATGATCGTATTTTTGTGCAAAATCAAATGATGTAACATTCTGTCAACCTATCTTGAACTTTTGTTTTTTTTTTTTACATGAAGCATCCTTCAATATCATTGTTCATACATAACCACCATTGCTAGCTGGCAGTACGCAGTAACCATTTTTTCTTTTATTTTCCTAATATTAAAGCATAAGCTATAGTGATTCGGTGAGCCATAACGTCAGTGGATTTGCTCTCAGTATAATCTAATCTGGCACACGAAACACCGACGGTTCCGCTGCTTGAGGAATAAAAAAAATAAAAATGCAGAGTTAATTAACTTCAAGAAAAATATAATAATTAATTTTTTGGTGGTCTCCTAGGTTTATTAATTGGAAAAGATTCCATCACGAACTGAAGCTAGTTAATTAACTGAAGTAGTATTGTTTATTAATCAAGAATGATAAACAATTTTAATCCGTCGCCTCAAATGGAAATTAAGTAACAAAAAGCTCGGGTAAAAAAATGCTCAGGCTTTTTGGCTCGTGCTGAGCCGAACAAAAGTTAGATCAAAATATCAAGGCTTGCTGGGGCCGAAAGCCCGAGCCTTACCAAATCGAGCCTAGACGATTCATTTTTTTTCACAAGCAGGCTGCCTCACGTCGGTAGCCAAGCAAACTGTAGCTACCACAGCTACTTGGCAGAAAGTAGGCAGGTTTAGGTTGCAGGTAGGCTGCCTGACTTCACGCAGCCTGAAGCTATCTCTATAGAATGCGGCTAGCTAGTGGATGTTTGCAAAACACGGGGCTGGCTCGTGTGGTTTGGCAAGCAACACGGGTCGGCTCAAGCTCATGCCATTGTCCAAAAATTGGGCTTTGCCCTAGCTAGGCTCGGATCCATTGTGCAACAAGCTGAATTTGCTCGAACTTTTTACGGGCCGAGCCGTGGGCCGCTCCAACCGACGGACCTATTTGACATCCCTACCACTAACCCACTTATTGTTTCCACTGATATTTCTTCAAGTGATTCTATCACTCAAACTCTAATTAATTATTCCAATTATTCTGCAATGCCCATTCCCACATCTTCTCAGCTTGATAGTTCAACCATTTCTCCCTCTATTTTTAATGACATTCTCTCCATTAATTTCCCTTCAATGGCACCTGCTCTTATCATTAGTAATCACCCTTAAAGAATTCGTCACCCACTGGGTCATTCAAGGATTATATTTGTAATCACATTTCATCATCAACTGATTTTTCGCTAGCAAATTATTTTTCTTTGTCCCATCTAAGCCATTCTCATCATGTCTTCCTAACTAATATCATTGAAAATGAAGAACCGCTATCTTTTTCTCAAGCCATGAAATCTGACGAATGACATGATGCCATGGCCAAAGAATTCAGGCTCTTGAATCAAACACTTGGTCTTTAAGATTACTTCCCAAAGGAAAATCCCCCATTGATTGTAAAAGGTTTACAAAATTAAATATCGGTTTGATGGTTCCATTAAGATATATAAAACTCGTTTAGTTGCCAAATGATATACTCAAGTTGAAGGCATCAATTATCATGATACCTTTGCATATGTGGCCAAACTAGTTACTGTTCGTCTCCTTCTCTCCATTGCTTCCATTAAAAATAGGTCATTGCACCAACTTATGTCAACAATGCTTTTCTCCGAAGAGATGTCAATGAAGAAGTTTATATAAAAATCCCTCCCAAATTTTCTTGTAATTAAGGAGGAGACTCGTGTATGCAAATTAAATAAATCTATCTATTATCTTAAACATGCTTCTCGTCAATTGTTCTTCAAATTCTCAACCACTCTTATTCTTCGAGGATTTCGTTGATCTATTTCGGACTATAGTTTTTTTTACTTATATTTGTGATCAGATTTCTATTTTTTGTTCTGAAATAATTGGGGAAAATTAGAAGAAGAAACCGTAACTCCATTGCCTCACTTTTCAAATGTATATGGTTAATTCATTTAAGTTTTGAGTCTACCTAACTTGTTTGAATTGCATTATAATTTAAAGGTTAAAGTTAAACTATACATTTCTACGACTATTACCCGCTTATTGATTACTTCTCTTTATATATTATAATTTAAGTGACTTTAAATACAATCCAAGCAAGCACCGAATAGATTAATAGCTACTTTTGAATAATGTCGCTACTTATCCTTTAATGAAATAGGCTAGAGTTTGAAAAGGGTTCTCTATTTTCAAACAGTTATTTAATTTATAGGGCGTGTTCGGTAGATATTAAAATTGGATTAAAATTGAAAAATTAGTCGTTATTGTTAACTTTTATTAGACGAGTGGGACCCAATAACAATCATATTTTCAATTAAAATTGGATTTTAATCCTGGGCAAACATGCTTGAAAAGCTAATAAGAATTAAAAAGTCAATAATCAAGAAATCCATACGTTCAATCACAAGAAATTATCATCTTCATTTTCTGTCTCGCTCCATGGGAAGAATAGTAATCAGAGATCTTATAGGATTCATCAAAGACAAGGCATCACTATTCAAAGCTGCCTTAGTTCCGAAACCTAGCACTCTCTCTCTCCGCTTGGCGGTCCTCCGCGTCACCACCCACTCTCCTCCGGCTCCGCCCAATGACGGCCAGCTTTCCAACCTCCTCCTGCTCGGAGACAGCTCACGGGCCACAGCTTCCGCCATCATTGCAACCCTCATGGACCGCCTACACCGAACCAGAAACTGTATTGTTGCTTTAAAGTGCCTTATGACCATTCATCACATCATCAAGCATGGCCCATTCATTCTCCAAGATCAGATTTCAATTTTTCCAGTCTCAGGCGGGTTCAATTACCTGAAGTTATCGGCTTTTCGCGATGGTTCCACAGCCACCACGTGGGCCCTCTCTGCATGGGTCAGGTGGTACGCGCGTTACCTGGAAACCCTACTTTCCAGTTCTAGGGTTTTAGGCTATTTTCTTTGCTCATCTTCTTGCAGCACAGTTAAAGAGAATCAAGAACAGAGAATTCCGTCTTTCTTGGACGCTGATTTGATCAGAGACGTTGATTCTTTGGTTGGATTGGTTGAGGAAATGTGCGAAGTACCTGATTTTCTCCTACTTGAACGTAACATGCTGTTAAACGAGATCATGATATTACTTTCCAATGACTATTTATCGGCAGTTAATGAAATTTTAGTAAGAATAGGCGAGTTGAGGGAGAGGTTGAGTTGTCTGAGTTTCTGCGACTTAACTCGGTTAGTACGTGCTTTGAAGAGATTACAAGATTGTAAAGAAAAATTATTAGCGTTGTTCACCCCAAGAAAAACATCAATAGAGACATTATGGGGTTTGATTGAGGAATTATATGAATTGTTGGATTTTGGGAGAGGAAAGGCAAGTGAGTTGGCTCGGCTGGAACAGCGAGTTGTAAATTCTGGTGACTCGGTGCAATTCCGATCAGGTAGGTTTTCTTTCTTGGTCCAAACAAATTAATTTGTCACATTTGGTGATAGTTGTATGTCAACAGAATGACACTTTAAAGTCAAATTATAATCAAATCAATTACCTACCTTTTATCCAAGTTGTCAAATGTGTCGTAATTAATTAAGCTATATGTTAGATGTTGAACGCTCCAAACATATTTTTACACAGAAGTCACTTTCAATTCATGATAATTAGTTGATTTTCCATAATCTTCATCACGAGACTTATATATGGCATATTCCATCGTTAGGTAAATTTCAAAATGTATAGCATTTGTTCTGTTGTACATGTTTGACAAAAACTTTAAAAAATTACTTATAAATAAATAAGGTTTAGAATTCTTTTTAGAAAAAATTGCAGCAGAGGTCCCAAATATTTAAATAGTAGCTCTTTGTCTCAAATAACTCTACATTTTGTAAAAAGACTATATTACTGGGAATCAATGTGCTTTAAATAAGCAAAATGAAGTAGTTAATTTGAATAAATTACACTGTAGGAGTGACAAAGTTCATGATATGCATCTAGCTGTTACTTACGTTACATTCAATGCACTCTCTACTACCTCAAAATTTGGTAGCTGTTAAAATTTTAAATTGTATTGATGATGTCACCAAATGGGTACAAAGAATTCACGTGCAGTGTGACGAAAAAAGAGAGGATACTTTCGGTACATATTACATGATGCTCTGGTTTGATTGATATTATGAGACTTGTGTTGGTGCATTTTAATATTAAAAATTCATTCTTTATATTTTCTTTTAATAGGTTTTGGGAGTTAGGAAAGTGAAGAGATTGGAGGTTTGGAAAATGAAAGATGAAAATCTTCATGTGTTTATGACACCCCTTTATTTTGAGTGGTATATTTTTACCTATAAATAAGACCATTCCTTGATCATTATTAACTACCACAACAATCACGATTCTTTTAGCTTTTTTCCTTACATTCTCACTCATTTTCTTTGAGAGATTATTGAGCAAAGAAGGGTGTTTCTTTTAGTGGAGTTTTGAGCTCAACTACTTGTACAAAGTTTGTTTGAACCATACGACGAATAGTTGGGCTTTTGTATCTTGGAGGGGATAAGTCATAGAGAAGTTCTGCTGCATCGTGTTTTAGGCTTTGCCAACCGCAGAGATCTTGATTCTCCTTAAAGAGAGCGAGATATCCGAGCCTCAGTCCGTCAGATTTCGTTATCTTTCTATTTATTTTGTAACACCATTTCTTATTATTGAATTTTCACCAACAATTTTAAGGAGATTCAAACAAATGGACTTAGCACCTGAGAGGCCCGTTGACAACGTTCGAGATCTCAACAAGCACTTTCGTTTTAAGGGAGTTCATTTTAAGCGGTGGAAGAGCAAAGTCCTATTTTACCTCAATTTTCTCAAAGTCTCCTACATCCTCACTGAGAAGAATCTAAACAAGGTCTCTACTGACAATATGAACGAAGAACTTCAAGCTCATTAAGGGAAGGTAGAAAATATATAATAGAGAAGAGTATAATTGTCCGTGTTATATCTTGAATTGCCTAGCGGATAATTGCTATGATTATTACAATACTACTTACTCATCCGTAAAGAAAATGTGGAAATTTTTACAAAATAAATATGATACTGAGGAAGCTGGTGCAAAGAAATACATTGCTAGTTGCTTATTTCGTTATCAAATGGTGGATGAAAAATTTGTGGTAGAACAAGCACGAGATTTTCAAATGATTGTTGCAGAGGTTAGATTTGAAGGCATCAAAATTGGGGACAACTTTGTTGTGGTTGCAATCATTGACAAACTATCGTCATCATGGAGAGAGTTCCAAAAGTCAATGTACCGTAAGCAGAAAGAGAGGTCCCGGAGACCTTGAGCACTCTCATTCGCATAGAGGAGAAAGCTAGAGGCCAAGATGCACTAATGACACAAGAAAGCAATGAACATTCTGGCACGAAGGTAAATTTTTAATTGCCGCAAATAATCACTTGCCCAATAATCAGTTTTCTAGAAATAGTCAATTGAAGTCAAGAAAGAAAAATATGAAAATTTATGGTAAACCTCATAGTCATGGAAACCCGAACCAGAAAAATAAGAACCAAGGCTCTCATTCTCAAAATCAAATTTACATGTTTTGTTTGCGACAAAAGTGGGCATATTGCTCGAAATTGCAGATTTCGAAATAGTAACCTTTTTCTCATGCTAATGTAACCGAAGAGCCACTTGTGACAATGATTACATAAATTAACATTACATAGTATGTTGAAGAATGGTGGACTGATTTTGGTGCCAATAGACATGTCTACTATGATAAAGATTGGTTCAAAAATTACACTCTCTTTGAGGAAAAGAAAACCATCACTCTTGGTGATTCTAGCAAAACCAAGATTGTTGGAACTACAAAAAACGTTGCCGTAGACCTTTTACAACGTTTGGATGTGTGTTGCAAATCA